CGAGGAAATGCGGCCTTCATCGCGGTGTCTACTGACTTCTTAAGAGTATAAAACAAACTTATTTGTATTTCAAACGCGAAAGACTCACCCAAACTGCTTAATAATTCGTTTGTTGGAACTTTACAGTAATCACTCGACTTCTCAGACATTTTTTTGTTTAACGTATTCTCGTATCAAACGCAAACTGAATTCAAGTAGGCAATCGCTTAGTTTTAAAACATTGAATAAATAGAATTTTTATTTACACATCAAAGATTATGGAAATTCAAATGGCGTCACGATTTTGTCTTTCATTAGAAAATATAATAGAGAATATTATATTTTTTAATGTTTAGACGGTTTTCCCACTCTTCAAGCCAGAATGCATTGCTGCCTCGTGGCAAAAATAGGCAGGGTGGTGGTACCTTTTTTTCTACTTATGAGGTCCCGACGCCTAGGGGGAGGTCAGGGTGTGTGGGGCTGCTGAAATAATAGAGGCCACATAGTAAACAATTTCTTTGGACTCCGGACCAAACGTATGATCCTCGCCCAAGGCAGAACCCAAAAGAGGTAGGAGGCTTCCGGTGAACACTGCGTCCACACGCGTGGTTTTCCCCAAACATACGCCCGTTTGGCGGAGTCGTCTAGGCGAGTCGACGACTCAACGTGGTGCTCCGAAATATCCTGCTGAACCAGAACTAGCCTGCTGGGTCAGAACACCGCTATACACCGCCACCTAGTTGCTCTCAAGAACCAGCATCGTAACCCAATCCAGTCGCCTGATGACTTTCACCGGGGGAAATCAGTCGTGAACACACTGTAAGTACATATTTCATTAGAATAATAATTGGTATCAGCTTGCGTGATTTGAGCACATCTACTCAATATGATTACATCGGGTGTCTTATCCATTAAGAGGAAATCCAATGACATGGCAAAAGGGGTCCCATTTTCCATACACAGCCTCGTGAAGTCGTTATGTTGTGTAAGTCATCTATCACGAAGTGACGAGGTCAATTTGGGACATGTTGACGTCATGAATAGATCAGAAGAGAGGAGCGGCTTTTTTTCGAAAATTTCGAAGTCAAGGTGAAGTATAGGATTTTAAGTTCGACGGTATTAATATTGATTTAAATCCGCATTAAAAGGCTATGACTATGTCGGGGTTTGTTTCACTGTGCCAAAAATTCACTCTGCCCCTGGCGTTGCTGAAGTCCATGGGCGACGGTAACCACTCACCATCAGGTGGGCCGCATGTTGGTCTGCCTACAAGGGCAATAAAAAAAAATTTGGCGAGTGTTTATCATATTTGATTGTACTTTAAATCAACGCCATTCAAGTCCATTTTCCCTTCAGCAACGCTAGAGGTGAACAAAAATCGGCCCACGTAACACGGTGGAACAGGATTTGCCCACATGCATACCATAGATTTTTTGGTAATATTATACGAACATGATAATACTTTGGAGATTCTTGTTTCTTTTTTCATTCAATACTTGGGGTTATTGGTTTACTCATTGGCTTACTTGATCGGCTTTATACGAAGACGAGTGTGAAGACATATTTTATGACGTACTCTTGAAGATGCAGTAAGCTTGATGCGTATCCCTCGAGGATCTACACAGATAAGACAAGGACACGGCCTTGTTATCATCTCTCCATGAGATACCTAAACGACCTTGTTAGGTAATCACAGTAATTAAAATGGCTCAGCAACCTCTTTTAAGGATTGTTGAAATTATTTAAAATAATAAACTTAAATTAAACTTGGTTTCACACAGACTAATAGTATCCACAATGCGACCCAATTAGGTTTATATGGTCTTAAGTATTGTCATATTAATTATGATTATACTTCAGTGAAAAACTATTATCTATGTGTCTAAAATAGTTCCAGAGGAAATCTTCGATTTTGCATCAAATTATCTTCTTAATACCCCTAATTTTAATTTATTAGAAACAGGCAAATGTGTTCCCGTCAAATTCAACAAAGATCCCTTATTAGTATTTTATGTTTTTAAACATGCACGTCTTAGTATCAACTGCACTCATAAGCTAGACCGCTCGAGAGAGATGGGCAGACTTTTCATGATGCGCATGCAGTGCGACGTCACGCCGCGCGCTTATTCACAAACACTACACAAGCGCAACGTGTGAATGTGTTTAATGGGAGCTACATGGTAGGTGGAGTGTGGGGTGTTAGGTTTTATTTTCGTTACGGAATTTCTCTATTCGGTCGCCGCGCTCAAAGCTATAAAATAGCTTAAAAAGTTTGATGTTCCATGTTTGAAACATGTAAGATGTATACTAGGCTTAGTATTTTCTGTGTAAAGTGTACATTAATAACTAAAGTCGAGTATCATAACGGGTTTCATTATTTACGTTGATGAGGTGGTAGCATCTTGACGGCATCTTAAAACATCCGAGATGTTTCGTCTCAGATGTACACACGAAAACAACAACAAGGCGATGCTTAAATACCGAAACCTCTGGAACTTTATGCGCATGTTTCGGTATGGTAGATGACGTGACCGGACTGCTGTAAGTGAACATGATGAGCAAGGTTGAAGGCAAGTGATGCACAAAGTGGTGGTGAAGGAGTGTCATAGTGAGGCGGAGAACACCAAACTGAACTAGCTGGACAGTATTAAGATAGGGGCAAATATTCTTCACTGACACTGGAGCTAATGGAGAGGTGCCTCAAGAAGAAGAAGAGAGAGGATCAGGGTCATAACAGGGAGGTCATAACATCTTAACTTCTAAAAATGTAGAGACCACAACGCCGATGCTGCTAATAAACGAAGCATTAAATAAAATTCTGAAAATTAAGAACCGTACTTTCTGATTTAATATTCTATCTGCGCAATCACGAATAAATATAATTATCATGTGTAAACCAAGAGAATGAAATTGTTACGTATTTCATTAAACTCGTTCAAATTTACTGTCAACTCTTGGAAACGTTGACTTTGTAAACAGCTAGTGAAACAGTCACGCGTCGCTGTGACTATCACTAAATTAATGAAAAAATTTTTGACGACAAGTTAATTACTTCCTTTTTTGTATGATTGAAGGATTACTGGGGGCCCGGAGACCTTTCCAATTTCACCAGAACAGGTGGGCGAGCAAGGCTCAGCCAGGAGGATTGGGATTAGCTAACAGCTGCCCGAGCGCCTCCGAAGGAGACCTAATAACTCAAGGGCAGCTGCTTCGCGAATGAATCTACTACCGGATCGGATCCGCGACCCGCTGAGAAGATCCGGCGAGAAACTCAGCGGGCTGATGCATGGGTTAGGTTGCACGTTGAATTCTTCATCGAGTTCGACGTGTACGGTTACCGGGGTCTCCAAGCCTGCTCCTAGCGTTGGGGCTGAAGTTGTCTAATGCAAAAGTTATTGGATTTGATACCTACGTACCTACTTCTAGTAGAATTAAAAAAAAAAAACCTTTTTAGTGTTCTGGTTCCTTTAAAGCGTGCAAATTCCAACCAAAGTATAACATTTTAATTCAATCGGATAAATGGCGCCCGCACAGTAACTAAGAAGCAATATTTATTTCCGAAGTCAGTCTTACCCACTTGTAGTTTTTGTAATTTACTATTGAATATTTAATTTTAAAAGAATGTTTCAACTCTCAATGTATGTAATGGAAACGAAATGTGAAAACTGAATAAGTTACGTAGTAAATATAACTAGTGGTCCCCCAGTAGTCGAAATTCGACTATAATTAATTGAAATTATAAGTTTGCACATTATTATTGGTTCTACTGTCGAAGACTATTATACTTCTATAATCACCGATTTCGCCAAGACTTTTGACCACAGACTCTATGCAATAATAAAAGTTTGACAATAAACAAAATTGTATGATATGTATATGCGTGTATACGTCAAATGCATGGTAATGTGTGTAAATTTTATTATTGATTTAATGCGTTTTTAATGCATAATTTAAAAAAAAAATAGCATTCTTCACTCATATTCTATATTCTCTAAAAGTGTGGGCAATTTCATACTCCTCTGTCCGCGTTATTTTCGTAAAAAGGGGTACAAAGTTTTTGCTTCACGTATTAATACATAAAATAATATTCATACGAAAGTAGCTGTCTGTTTGTTGCCTTCCATCCCACTGCGGAGCACGGGTCATAAATGTAAATGTGATACGAAATTTAGTTCATGTAGGTGAATCAACGGGCGGAAAGATAGTCCTTGTGTTAATAAATGAGTCGTCTATTATCAAAGGTGGCAATCTGTGTATTTGGACAAAAAAATGTTATTGATATGGCGATACAGATTGATTTGAATATAATCGTCTCCTTCAAAGAATACGGTTCAAAACCTGCATTAAATAAAGTATTAACTTAACCTGCTATTTATCTAAGATGTCGTTCAGAAGAGTTTTATGACTGCCAATGGAATACAAAGTCAATAATTCGTTTTTCTGATTTACCAATAATTGTCCAAAAGTCACATTGCCGGCTTTGATAATAGTCGACTCAAATATCAAACCTGCGACACAATTTTTTTATTGTATTTATGGGTGGACGAGCTCACAGCCCACCTGATGTTAAGTGGTTATTGGAGCCCATAGACGTCTACAACGCAAATACCACCTACCTTGAGATATGAATTCTAAAGTCTCAGTATACCTACAACAGCTGCCCCGACCCTTAAAACCAAAACGCATTATTGCTTCACGGCAGAAATAGGCAGGGTACGTACCCGCGCGGAGTCCAAGACGTCCTACCACCAGTATTTGCTTTATACTTAACAATATTTACAAATTCACTTAACGGCTTCGACCAGGAATCTACTTGGGAGCACTAAGAGTCACCACTAGATCGAGGATTTGTGATCAATAAGGAACATGTGATTAATATTTGTTATACATAAACACCTCGTCTTTGAAGCTGCGTGTACTCAGAGCTAAACTCACAACCTCTTGATAAAATAAAAGCCACGAAACGCACGAAACTTTTTTTATTAAATATAAAGCACAAGTTGTTACAAAATAAAAACACGTCAGGAATTTCCTAATTTCTCTTTTTCTTTGATGCTGTTTTTGTGGTCGTTAAGCGATTTTAATTCTTCTACACCTGTACCTGTAATGAAATATGTTATGAAAAAGCTTATGCTGATAATAGAGCTTGTGATTTTGAAAATGCTACCCAAGCTGTTACCATGGCCAGGCTGTTGCGACCGTTAGCGCGAACTACTCATCATGTGAAAGCATTTCTAGCCAAATTCTCGCACTGTGTTTGAGAGTCTCTGTACTTGATGAGTGCTAGCAACAAACTCTGATAAGGTTAGTAACATCAGCCATGGGTGAGGAATCTTTAAAGCAATATCTTCAATCAAAATAATACTACACAAAATTAAAGTTCAGATTAAAACCATATCAGTGTTTGGTGTACACGTTTTTTTTGGTAACTGGTAAAATTAGGTGTTTATGCCAGCATAACCTGACAAGTAGGTGAGTTCACGGGGCTCTAACCTGAGGACGTTGCTAAGACTAGCCCTAACAAGAGCAGTGCTTTGAATCTACCACCGACACACCGAGAAGACCCAGCGAGAAACTTAGTAGGCTGTGTCTGAAAGTTAAGAGTGTACTTAACAAATATCTTATTAATCGTAAACTCGATTTGATTCAACAAAGGCGACTTTTATCCTCGTGTGCAATAACTAAAATGTTAGCGATTAAAACCACTAATTTGGGCATCGCAATTTGGAAAATAATTGATTCACTGCGTCTTTCATTAGTATCAGACCTTTATAGAGTAGTACCGAATGTGCCTTTGATATTTGGGCTTAGCAATACGGGTTGCACCACAGTAACATCTGGCGGCTAGCGCTTAGAGCACATAATTGAGACTTCATAATATTTATAGTTTAGTACGTTTGTGTAATTGCTCTAATACCATTTACACATCACTGATTATTAAGAATTACTTAATTTTGGTGTATTATTAGTAAAGCCAGTAATTACTATTTTGCTGGGTAATAATAATTATGTCCGAATGTTTATTATTTTAATGATTTTTGTTTTTAAACACTTTATCTATTTGTAACGAACATGTACATTCTTTATTTTTATTGTTGCTGTTTTTCTTGTGTTCTGATGGCCAACATTATTAAAATTATTCCGTGAATCTAATAATATCTAATGGATAATGGATTTAAAAATATTATTACGTCGGTAAGAGTAACGCCATCTATCGCTGAATAGCCGAAACGAATATCAAAGGAGCTCATAACGTCGAGAAAGCTCGTAAAGTGTAACGCCATCTATTGTCAGATAGCGGACACACATCGAAGCTACTCGACTTGCCCAGAATGTTCTGGGTAAATCTAGGGATGTCGTCTCGATTATAAAAGCGTTGCAGAGATGGCACGAAGTCACTCAGTAATCGGAATTACTCGAAGCGAAACAGCGATCGGATCACCTGAAGCGAAGCGGAAGAAGGGAATTGAGAATTTTAAAGTGCTCGTTAAGTGTTCTAAGTGTGAATACAGTTTTAATTTACACTTCGGTAGGTTTTATTTATCCCGAACCCCATTGCGTAACAATATGTACATTTGAAGAGTTCTAAGAATACAAACCGATTCTTTCTTCGTCGTGAAAGTTCCATGGCTGCACCGAGCCTTTCACGAATATCACGAAGACAGCATTGGTTATGAACTGGAAGGACACGGTTATGAGGAACACTATTTGCCATCTGCTCGGATTTTTCTGAAAGAAGAAATTGTTCAGGGTGTATTGGAGCTGGAGTACGTGTGCTGGATTCTTAAGACGAAGATATTATCACGTTAACTGTAGTGTAGGTCACCGGTGCCCTACGTAGTGCACTGAAGTAATTATGTCGATTTCTGTTACTAAAGCACCTGGATTGGCTAACTTTTCTTCTTTTGTTTGTTAATTGAAGTTGTAGTTTTTTAAGTATCTTACAAATAGATTCATTCTCAGTATCTTCGGATTCGTCTTTCCCAGAGACTTATGATTACTTGAGTGCGCCGCGTAGGGCACCGGTGACCTCAAAAGTCAAAAAATCACTATGATTTTTTAAATTAGTAATTTGTTTCACTCTCCACGCAATATATTAGAATTTATCATATCAGCTGACGCATAAGGTCAATGGTCTCTCGGAGGCACCGACCTGCTTCTTTCGGAATACATTACGGTTTCACAATAATTGAAGAACCTTAAACGAATAAAGTTAGGAAATTAATTTAGTTTTTCGTGTACATTAGGTACGGTATTTCTGTTTTGGTTCAAGGAATGATTTTTAAACCCTATGTCTGTATCGTATTTTTATTTTATTTTATTGCTTAGATAGGTGGACGAGCTCACAGACCATCTGATGTTAAATGCTTACCGGAGCCTATAGACATCTACAACGTAAATGCGCCATCCACCTTGAGCCATAAGTTCTAAGGTCTCAGTATAGTTACAATGGCTGCCCTACCCTTCAAACCGAAACGTTTCACGGCAGAAATAGGCAGAGGCAGTGCTACCTACCCGTGCGGTCCGACCACCAGTAAAAAGTATTCACTTTGGTTTTTGTAGACTTAACTGAAACACCTTTTACGTTTTAATTTTGTGTTTGCTACTGTCATTACATTATTTTCAACCTTTCGAATACACTTTTTGAAGTCGGTGACCTATTCGTACGGGAATATAAGGGTACAATATCCCTACCGACAGAATACACTAATTTACATATATCAGTAGCCTTTGCCTTAAGCTTATAGGAAATGAATTATCTGAGTTCTAGGTATGTTCTTATAATGTGTGTTACATTTGATGAGGGCTTAGTCAATATTGTCTGTAGGATTTAGATAACTTTTATTGTTGGACTAACTAACAAAATAGTTTGGAAGTTAGGACGATGTTTTTGTTACCGCTTAAATAAAATATTCTAAATTACGTCAAGTGTATTTTTATATATTTATGTACGTCTTTGGAAATCGTACTGCAAAAATCAGCAATTGTGAATTTCATCGCGAATTTTCGATTTATTTTTGCCGCAATATAATCATTGGAACAGTTTTAGGATAGAATTACTTTTCCTGTATAATTGAAACTTCGAATGCGATATAATTTTGTTGTAATGTTAATGAAGATCTTATAATTACTTAATTCCCGCCGGGCTTTAGATGAGGTAAGCGTATATGTATGTATGTCATTAACTTCAATTAAAATAAATATAGCAAAAACTTAATTTAAATCACTTATTCACTATTATATCACTGGTGGTAGGACCTCTTGTGAGTCCGCGCGGGTGGGTATCACCGCCCTGCCTATTTCTGTCGTAAAGCAGTAATGCGTTTCGGTCTGAAGGGTAGGGCGGCCGTTGTAACTATACTGAGATCTTCGAACTTATATCTCAAAGTGGGTGGCGCATTTACGTTGTAGATATCTATGGGCTCCAGTAACCACTTAACACTAGGTGGGCTGTGAGCTGGTCCACCCATCCAAGCAATAAAAAATAAGGATAATTGTAATGAACATTTTTGAAGAAATAAAGTTTAGCGTCATGACTAAATAAGTATCATCGAACTATTTAATTAGCATCATCGTTTTATTGATGGAAGTAACTAGTCAGGTCATAAGTATTGTCACACAGTAAAAACTTTTCTTTTAGAATGCTGGCCACAAAAAAGTTTATTGAATTCGAATTTCCAATTGTTCATGAAAATAAAAATGTATACTTTTAGAATTTTACTCATTTTTAAATATGGAGTGGACGCTTAAAGAAGACCGTGTTGCAGTTATTGCGTTGCATCGTTGCGGTTACGCGCCAATTCAAATTTTTAACATACTGAAAAATTTGAATATAATCAAAAGATTCGTTTATCGTACCATCAAACGATACAATGAAGACATTCCGATAGAGGCACCCGTCACGTGCGGACGTGCTCATCGTCCACTCGATCGCCCGGTCTTTGTTCGCCCGGCTTTTGTTAGCCCGGCTATTGTTCGCGCGGCCTGTGTTCGTGATACATCTGCCGACCAAGTGTGTTTCCTGGAAGCTTTTATTTGTTTTGTTTTAGTTATTTTTGTGTTCGTGGAACATTTGCCGACAAAGTGGTTTCCTGCAAGTATTTATTTGTTTTGTTTCTTTTTGTAATTTCTGTTTTGTTGTGCTTTTTCTTTGTCCTGTAGTAATCGCGCCGCATTGCCACCTGTGTTCAATAGAACCGCTCAGGTCCGAGAAGTTGGGGCCTCGCCGTAAGGCGAGTGTTTTCAAGACCCGGGGCCGCCCCACCTGGGTACTCAGCGATCATGGACGCTGTATTCGCGGAATTCCTCCGACTTCGCCACCCACAGCTCGCCTCNTATTGGGGCTTAACAGAGGTACATTTTTGTGAGAAAGGTGTAAAAACGAATGCAGTTGTGTATCAAAATACAGTCCTGACGAACCTTGTGGAACCTGTTTCTCATACCATGTTCAATAACAGGCACTGGGTATTTCAACAAGATTCGGCGCCAGCTCATAGAGCGAAGAGCACACAAGACTGGCTGGCGGCGCGTGAAATCAACTTCATCCGGCACGAAGACTGGCCCTCCTCCAGTCCAGATTTGAATCCGTTAGATTACAAGATATGGCAACACTTGGAGGAAAAGGCGTGCTCAAAGCCTCATCCCAATTTGGAGTCACTCAAGACGTCCTTGAGTAAGGCAGCCGCCGATATTCACATGGACCTCGTTTGTGCTGCGATAGACGACAGGCCGCGCAGATTGAAGGCCTGTATTCAAAATCACGGAGGTCATTTTGAATAAACTTTAGTGTCATAAGAATCTATGTTTTGTTAAGTTCATTTTGGTATATGAATGGTTACATAATGAATAAACTTGTTTCAATTATTTTACTTTAAACATGTGACAGAATATGACAGAATATGACCTGACTAGGTATAATAGTGAAGGTGCATCATTATGTTCTTCTATGGAATAACCAATAGCATGAGAATTCGTTGGCTCGCGAAAATTAAAAACAAATATTTACGTTGTCTAACAATTACATGAGTGATTGAAGCAAGCTTGTTTGTTTCAGTATGGAATATATTTACCAAATCATCTTTCACGATGTTTGAAACAATGACCGGTACCAGCAGACTGGTCAGGTTCGCCACCATGTTTCCCAGAGACATTATGGGACCAGCAAAGTTCGGTGACAAGTCTATTTGATTTATCTGTAACAAGATTCAATTTAAGTACCTACTGCTCTTTGTTTTCAGATTTTTCATTGGATTTGGGACAGAGCGTTCCCGCTGGATATTACCTGTTATCTGAGTCATGGAAACGTTTTTTTGAAAATCCTAGGCTTTGTATCGCAGAGATTGTGGATTGCGTTATAAATTAGCGAGAGGATTGAGATAGAAAGCAAAGTAATAAGCCGCTACTACGGATTGGTGATGTAGATGTGGACACAGGAAACAGTAATCACAGAAATAAGTTATGTCTGCTGGAGTAACTATGAGCTTTGATAAGTTTTGATACGACAAACTGTGGACTCTTCAGTACGGATAAAAAACAATAAAACATATTAATTTATTTAACATCTGTTCTCCACAGGAAATTAATGAAGTGCCAATAAACAACAAAAAATGCAATAAGCCCTTACATCATCATATTTCTGATAATGTTTTGGTAGAACACGAAAACAACATACCTTATAAGTTAGATAATAATAGTGATTGACATGATTAGAATTTGTTGAAAGCCCTTCACGTTAAAAGAAATGTATTCACGAATACTCATAATCATGCTACTGCCAGTTTTATTTATTTTGGTAAAGATGTAACTATACTTGAGACCTTAAAACTTATATCTCAAGGTGGGTGGCGCACTTACGTCGTAGATGTCTATGGGCTGCAATAACCACTTAGTACCAGGTGGGCTGTGAGCTCGTCCACCAATCTAAGTAATGAAAACAAACAAAAAATGTTTATCAAACTTACATGGAATCCAGTGTGAACAGCAGAATGCATGCCAAATGATATCATTAGCAGCAATACAGCCAGCCAGGCCTTATCCACGTAGCAGAATCCAATCAAGAAAAACCCAGATAGTACCATTCCTATGGTATTCGCTGTTCTTCTGATGTTGGCTACTGTCATAATCTTTTTGTTCAGTAAGTAATCAGATATGTAGCCGAAAAATATAGCCATCGTGAACATCGATAAGTAAGGAAGGGATGAGTAGATTCCATTCTGAAGATTGAATAATAATAATAATTATAATAATAATTATAATATATTTTTACTGGTGGTAGGACCTCTTGTGAGTCCGCGCGGGTAGGTACCACCGCCCTGCTTATTTCTGTCGTGAAGCAGTAATGCGTTTCGGTTTGAAGAGTGGGGCAGCCGTTGTAACTATACTTGAGACCTTAGAACTTATATCTCAAGGTGGGTGGCGCATTTACGTTGTAGATGTATATGGGCTCCAGTAACCACTTAACATCAGGTGGGCTGTGAGCTCGTCCACCCATCTAAGCATTAAAAAAATATATATATACCTCTTTATTTAACAACATATGTACAGAGTAAGCATATAAAACAAATAATAGACGATGATATAAATGAATAAATAGTTACTTTTAGTAATAACTCATTCATTTCATTGTATCTTCAAACTCTAATACACTGGAGATCGTAACAATTAGAAATGTATGTATTCACTTTTATTATTATATAAGCAATCAGATCTACACTGAGATATACTTTCTGCTAGATTGAGACTTTATTGTGTGTTTTGATTTTATTTAAAGTAAAAACCATTATTGTTTAGTGCGCCACTTGCTTTGTTATTATTACCAAAACGATCTACAGCCCTTGCACTTGTGGCTTCGTAATCTAAACTTCGATATAATCTAAGGTGTCTAGTTAGGCAGCAGAGTTGATGTTTTAAGTATTTAAGGTTCGGTAACCGCTTATATACAAGACATACGTCGTGAAATCATTCACCCTTTTAATTAATAAACATCCTTGTGGAGAGGCTTGTGGAGAGTACTTAACGGAAGGCAGCGGCTTGGCTCTGCCCCTGGCATTGCTGAAGTCCATGGGCGACGGTAACTCGCCATCAAGTGGGTCGTATGCTCGTCTGCCTACAAGGGCAATAAAAAAAAAGGATTGTGTGGTTTTATGAAACCACGGTAAAAGTGAAACTTTTTTTCAACAAATGAGTAATAGTCTATACACTACACGGTCAGCGGCTGCGAACTATAGGCGCCGCCATATTGGCCTTGGCTGCTCTGACGAGCGCCTTTTACTTTATTCCTACTCAGCGGCCGACCGTCACGCGACATGCAACACACAGACGAAAAAGTTTGAGACGATGTAATATTGAACTATAATATTGAAGAAAGAACTTACAGTTTCAATGTTTACGTTAAGTATTTCGTTCATGTACGTTGGCATCTGAGTGAGGACTAGAAGGTATCCTGCCGAACTCCCGGCGTGGCTCACTACCAGACCCCAAACTGCTGTGCTAGTGAGAATATGCGTCCATGGCGTTCTGCGTTTCTGTAAGACAATAAGCTCTTCAATAATTTATTTATTTATTTATCACATTTCACATAAAAGTTACGTTGGCGGATTTAATGCCTAAAGAATGATCAACTGGTCAACCAAAGTTAGTGTACAGGTAGTCGTAGGTACAATGAAATTTATATTATTATAAATTACAAATACTTACACAAAAATAGTATATCCATACCATATACAAGCGTAAATATATTATTATATATAGGCATATACATACATATTATATACATTTATAAATTCAAAGGAATATATTAATAAATTCACTTAACAAATAACTTCAACTTAATAAAATTTACAATTTTGCGAAGCGAATATTTTAATATAAACTTAAGTATTTGAAGCTTAAAGTTACAGCTTTGGAATTCAAAGACTTAAAATTCAATTACTCATTTCTTGTCTTGAAGTCGCCCCGGCCTAAACGATGAAGCACCCAGTGTACCCGCAGAACTATGAACAATCGTTTTTTTAGGACTGAAGGATTACTGGTGGTCCAGGATCAGCCAGGAGAGGTAGGATTTGCTAACAGCTGCCCGAGCACCTCCGAAGGAGACCTGACAACTCAAGAGCAGCAGCTTCGTGAATGAATCTACTACCGGATCGGAATCGTGACCCGCTGAGAAGATACGGCGAGAAACTTAGCGAGCTGATTCATGGGTTAGGTTGCACATCGAACTCTTTGCCGAGTTCGACGAGTACGGTTACCGGGGTCCCTAAGCCTACTTCTAGTGTTAAATTTTAAGGCGTCTAATGCAAAGGTTATTGGATCTGATGGATCCGTCAGGACGTGTCAGGGTGTCGACGGTGACTGGCTCCTGCATGATCACGATATAAATAATCATAATCTGGACTTGTCTATACCGTTGTCTGTGTTCATCATTGAATTGTGATATATTCGCGCTCTTCTAGTAAATAATATATTCTACTTCCCAATGAATGTCTTCCAAAATAGTCAAAAACATTACCTTCGGGAAAGCATCAACATTTCCATCTTGCGTAATGTAAGATAATTCTTCAGCACTTATGGTCGGATGTTCGCGAGGAGACGGAGCGACGAACCAGATAAGAAGACCGAAACTGGCAAAACTGAGGATACCGCATAACCAAAATATAGCGGGCCAACCAAGGACCGGTGTACCAGCAAATAGTCCTGATATTTCGAAGATCAAGATTGTTCCGAATTGAGATCCTGAAACAACGTACCTGCTATAATTTTTAACTACTAGAGGATGACCGAGCCTTGCGCGTTTTTTTTTTTGATTATTAATTGTGTTTTTTGGAATTTATATTTAAATACGAATTACAGATTGATATTAGTTATATTATATAATATTATTTGTTATTTTCTTTAACTAAAAAAAAAGTTTATGTTTAAGTTAATTATCGATAAAGTTGATTATTGAAAACACGAATGAAACAACATTTTCTGATAAATCGATCTAGCTACGATTTATAGCTAGATCGATTAATCGCCCTCGAAATCCCCTGTATACTAAATTTTATGGAAATCGTTAGAGCCGTTTCCGCGATTCAGATTATATAATATAATATAATATTTATATACAAGAATTGCTCGTTTAAAGATATAAGATATGTATAGACTAGAGACTCTTCCCTTCCTACTTCTAAAAACTGTTTTCATCCACAGTGCACTTCCAGAGACCTTTTTGGCCTCGTACCATCCGGCTTTGGAATGAGCTCTCCTCCATGGTGAGCGCTATGACATGTCCTTCTTCAAACAAGGCTTGTGGAGAGTATTAAACGGTAAACAGCGGCTTGGCTCTGCCCCTGGCATTGTTGACGTCCACGAGCGACGGTAACCGCTTACCATCAGATGGGCTGCATGCTCGTCTGTATACAAGGGCAATAATAAAAAAAAAAAGTTTAAAAAAAACTAAAAAACACACTTTATACAAAATTCAACTAAAAAATAGAAAATAAATTTTAATAAATTTAAATAGAAAATAGTGTAAAATATATTTTATTGTAAAAAAAGCGTGGGGTGCACGGTGTTATTAGTTAAAAATATTTTTCTGACAGATATGAGTAGAAGAATTATTATTTCAATAATATCTTAAAAAGCACACCACGTTTTTTTTTAATCTACAAAAAGTTTGAATGAAATCTGGCCGTTTAAGGTGGGTTAAAATCGCGTCTAAAGGAGTCAGTTACAAACATACATACAAGTGAAGCTAATATAAAGCATGTAAAAATAGAGGATATGATATGAATAATCTTCTTGGATATCAGCCAGTAGTAGCGTTCTGGATAATATGACATGTGATCTTTGCCCACTAGTTCGTCATTCGTGCGTAGTAATAATGTCCTAATCTTATTTTTTTAGTAGAGTAGTGGGTTCACATGGGTTCTGTCATGTGTGCCTACTTCTAACGCATAGCAAAGCGCTTAGGTTTGACAATTTACCATTGTTCCAAAAAACCTCGACCAACCCTCAATATCTCAACTCAATGACCTAGATTATACCATCATCTAAGCCAACTAAATAATCTAACGAGACTAGCTTTGTTGCGGTCGTGGTCTTAGTGGCATAGTAAATGAAACAGAATAGGAATTAATATAAAGGGGTAACATTTATAGAACGGCGTGAATTGTCGCGGGAATTATTGTGTACAATTCCAGAACTAAGTTTCGGAGTCGAACCGTATTCAGTATGATTCCGGGCTAAAGGCTGTTTCACGAAAACATACGAGAACATATTCCGATCCGTATTATGGAGCTCAGCTTTAATTTTCATTAATGAAGTTGTTAGATCAGTTATTTAGACAATCTGACTGAAAGTCAAAAGTTTCGCCATATGATGCTACTATGACTACACGATAATATATTCTTATTATACTGATTACAATATATTAATATAATGTGTAACGTAAAATAAAAGCTAAGATATGATATGATGGTGAGTGGTTACCGTCGCCCATGGACTTCAGCAATGCCAGGAGCAGAGCCAAGCCGCTGCCTACCTCTTAATACTCTCCACAAGCCTCTTTTAAAGAAGGACATGTCATAGCGCTCGGGAAACACCGTGGAGGGGAGCTCATTCCATAGCCGGATGGTACGTGGCAAAAAAGACCTCTGGAAACGCACTGTGGATGACCGCGGTGGCTCCAGGTAGTATGGATGAACTCTACTCCGGTGGCGGGCGGTGCGATGGTAAAAACGAGATGCCGGTATCATCTCGAACAATTCCTCAGAGCACTCCCCATGGAACATTCGGTACAAAATACAGAGGGAACCGAAGTCCCTCCGCAGACCCAAAGGTTAAGTAATGGCTTAAATTTCAATGAACTGACCGGAGGATGAGCTCTGCTGCAATAGTGCGTGGTGATAGCGATGGTACAAGGAGCTGATTAAGTAATCTCACAGAGTGCCTGCACCACTCTTAAGTGATTGGTATTGTTGTAACACCTCAACCCTAGTACCACCGCCCCACTTATTTCCAGTACGAATGATTGTTTAGCTCTTGTTGTAAAGCAACAAAAATTCGTGACCCAAACTAGGCTGCCATATTTACAATCAGCAAATACAATTTCGCTTTAAAAACACCAACATTCTTCACGTATTTTTCACTATCTGCGATTTCAGTAGCAGGCGTTTTATAACTTAAAGCAGACCCTCGCGGCTCATCACGTACATAAATTAGGGTTTCTTTTGATAGTCACTCAAACGTGACTGCTTTTAAACCAAAGATCCTAACAAACTTGACAACAAAAATAATTGTTCACAGATTCAAAGTTACAAAAGAAGCCGTCCGCCCGGTTCTTGATTTCTGATGTTCTTAGGCGATTAGGGTTTTTGTTGTGATTTAGTACCTCGTCGGTTTCGTTGCCAACCTGAGGGAACGGATTTGAGACAAATTGCAAAAATATTGCCCGAAATTCCCGTTTTGCATATTAGCGGAGATATTTTCAGAAATATCGCTACGTTAAATGTGTTCGGAGTAAGGAGCCAAGATCGCGCCCTATTTTATGTATAACCGATAAGTTAGATATCGACGTAAGATTATGTCGATATCTAACTTATTCTTTTATGATTTTTATTATTTTTTGTCCTACTGATAGAAAAAAAAAACATTCCATTAAATCGTGATGTTAATCTTACCCGTGTAGACATAAGTGCTCAATCTTCCTCTTTCACTCAGCGGTGCCCATTTACCCAGCATTGTGTGCATGCTCGGATAGAGAGCTGCTTGTGTCATCCCTTGAATCAATCGACATGTGGCCAGACCCATCCATCCGCTCTAGAGAATAAAACATATTGAGTTAGCTGCACTTTCTAAATTTATTTACAGAATATATTTCATTTCCTAAACAACCGATCGAAATGTAACTGTCAAATTCGAAGTTAATCTGTGTATGTTTTCAGTAAAGACATAATTTACCACAGATTTAATAAAATACGCTATGTGCCCGTAGGCATATAAACATTAGCTTAACGGATCGTGTTATTCAGTTCAATACAATGGCTGAATAAGTGTTTCTAGCCAGTTCACAATGGTCATTCCATTTAATAGGACATCTTGGATATACACTCATCTCTTTCCCAAATTCAATCAAATTAAAGCTACGTCCTCTGCATAACAGAGAAGTCTTTCTTAGACCATTGCAAAGAAAATACGGACGAGGTGTATTAAGCCTCATTCCGCACTAAAGCTGTTAAGAAACACTCAATAAGGATTCCGTAATCAGGATCAATATGGGCGGATAAGATTTAAAGTAATTTAAAAAGCTAATTTAGTTTTAAAATCAACGTAACCCAATATATTACAGTTCTAAATAAAAATATACTCATTTGATTTGGAATGTATATATATATCTATCTATCTAACTGTCACAATCAGTGTTATATAATCTAACACAGCTATACATATAAACTTATAGATAATACACATAAATTTGTTATAGATAATCAACTCAAACACTCAACAACAAAGAATACGGGCGTCGTGGCTTCGCCTCTATTAGTTTCTCGTTGCTCCTGTAGATGGCAGTAACAAAAGATTTTGTAAATATTCTATGGTAAATTCTTCTATAACAAACTTGTATGATTCATTAATTTTTAATTTTGTAATATTTAGCTATGCAATAATTAAATGCCTTAACTTTAACAACATATATGTTTAGGGGCATCCGCTGCAAGATGTCGCTAGTTTCCATACAAAAAATATTTGTCTTATGCTGGAACCACACTGCGTTATGCGCTATTCGTTATGTGACTACGCCGTATTCGCCAAAATATATGTTAAGCGCGCAAGCAATAAACATGCCATCCACACTTCGAACTTGTGCGCTGAATTATGCCAAATAAGGCAAATATGTGTCTTGTTTGCGTGGAGCGGTGGGACGTGTTGAGAGTTGCCGCAATTTATTATTTCCTAAATGTTTCTTACCAATACTTGTTGTACAAAGTTACTAAAAGATCTAAAAGACCGAAAAGAAAACGCTGGTGGATGATTACAAGTCATAAGACACGTCGATACACGACCGCCACAAGCGAGCGAATGACTCATCGAAGTGTGGGCAGTCGATGCGCACATTCGCCTTATTCGTGTCCTTTGAAGTGTGTCAAAAAACCGACAAGTCGACGGATACGCGTATTTGCTATTCGTGTTTATGTGTTATGCGTACGAATAAAGCGAATATTGGCGAATATCCTCTCCACACTTCGCCGTATGCGCGTGAATAGCTCGCATAACGAATAGCGAATAGCGCAGTGTGGTTCCGGCATTAAAGTATCACAGTTTCAGAGCCGTGTTGTATTATACTAAGGACTTACAAATAAAGGGATCCAAGGGCTGATGATAGAAACAACTCCATTAACGAATAGCGCCACACTGATCGGAAATTTTCCACCGAATTTCTGCGCTATTATACCCATCGGGATCATCATGGTGGTGTAGCCGACGAAGAACGCGAACAATATCATTTCTTGAGTCGATTTATTCCAGTTGTACGTCTGGAAATACATCAATGATATTTTTAAATGGTTTCTTGTTACTACCGTCTTTAATTTATTAGATAAAATCGATGACTTAAAGTTTTTTTTATTGCTTAGATGGGTGGACGAGTTCACAGCCCTTCTGGTGTTAAATGTTTACTGGAGCCCATAGACATCTACAACGTAAATGCGCCACCCACCTTGAGATATAAATTCTAAGGTCTCAGTATAGTTACAACGGCTGCCCCGCCTTTCAAACCGAAATGTATATTACTGTTTCACGGCAGAAATAGGCGGGGTGGTAGTACCTACCCGCGCGGACACACAAGTGGTCCTACCACCAGTAAAAATGCTCATTACTGAACTGCTGGACTTCCTTATTTGACTTTTTCGCTACATTACACATTCTTAGTGCTGACTCGGAGTCTAACAATTGTATAACAAAACTAGCAGATAATCTGATATCTGTAAATGGCTGAATTGCCGTTTCACGGCCACCAAACTTTATCTGAAGTGTAGATGAAATCACTTTAAAGAGTCTTTCATTTGAATAATAAACATGTATCCATTAGTGTGTTCGCTAATTTTATGCCACAGTTGTAATTAAATCAGCGATATAAAGTTAAAGTTCAAAGCAGTTGAAGTCATGGTCACGATATTCTATAGCAATCATAATGATTTTTTTTTTTTTTACTGCTTAGATGGATGGACGAGCTCACAGCCCACCTGGCGTTAAGTGGTTACTGGAGCCCATAGACATCTACGTAAATGCGCCACCCACCTTGAGATATAAGATCATACTTGAGGTCAGATTTTCCTACGATGATTTTTGACTTAGTGAGCAAGACTTCTTCATAAAATTATTCTTACTAGTGGTCCCCCGGTAGTCGAAATCCGACTATAATTAACAGAAATTATAAATCTATATGTACACTATTATGATTCTATTTTCAAAGACTAATCACTATAATCACAGATTTCGCCAAGACAAATAAAGACAAACAATATTGAATCTATTCTCAATTTGACCACAGACTATAAACAATACAATACAAATAGTATGCATGCGTGTGTGTGTTAAATACATGGTAGTGTGTGTAATGTTTTTTTATTTATTGATTTAATGTATCTTTTATGCATAATTAAAAAAAAAATTTACATTCTGCACTCCTTCTCTATATTCTCTGTAAATGTGGGAAATTTCATACTCCGCCGTCCGCGCAATTTTCGTAAAAAGGGATACAAAGTTTTTGCTTCACGTATTTATATATATTATAACTATAACTCCTAACATTGCTTCAGCTAGTTTACAAAATACATAGAAAAAAATCATCCACTATTACGACCTCACCCAACTAAATTGAAGACATCATGATAAGATATAATAAAAACATTTACCTAATTGGATACAACACTTATATCATGATTATACAATTATAGGAGAATAAAATGCTTCAGAAGAGCAACATTATATCTGGCGAATAGCTTTTGCCCGCGACTTCGTCCGCGTGGAATAGTTCACAAATAATGCTTTATTTTAGAACAAATTTGGTTAGCATAAAAACGGTATAGTGAACTAACCTTAACATATTATAGACATATACTGTCGCGGACTTTTTTTTTAGATCTTTTAAAGGGGAACAATTCTGTCGTACATTATTTTAGCGAAACTTTAACCGTTTCCCCAGCGCACGCAGCAGAAGCTCTCAAAAGGGAAAAAACCCCGATTTTGAAACATTCTTTATTGGTGCTTCGCTTTTATTGCTCTTGGCGTGATGTTAGCCCATAGCCTTCTTCAATAAATGAGCTATCTAGCACTGAAAGAATTTTTCAAATCGGACCAGTAATTCTTGAGATTAGCGCGTTCAAACAAACAAACTCTTCAGCTTTATAATATTAGTATAGATAAAGTTTGTCTGGTTGCTCATCTTGTAATCATTTTCAACGTCGTCACATCATTTAGCTATCGGGACAAGTTCCTGGTTTATCTGCAGACTTACGATTTTGAACTTAATAATGAACTATTTCTGAAATATTGCTTCTTAAGCCTTTAAACTTCGAAGGTGGGCCTACAATAAACAATACCAAAAATATTGTCTCAATAAATATAAATAAATATCATCTCAATAAATATCCGATCGCTCTATGTGCATGTAAGTACTTATGTAGACCTATGTAATTACTGGTGGTAGGACCTCTTGTGAGTCCGCACGGGTAGGTACCACCGCCCTGCTTATTTCTGCCGTGAAGCAGTAATGCGTTTCGGTTTGAAGGGCGGTGCAGCCGTTATAACTATACTGAGACCTTAGATCTTATATCTGAGGGTGGGTGGCGCATTTAAGTTGTAGATTTCTATGGGCTCCAGTAACCACTTAACACCAGGTGGGCTGTGAGCTCGTCCACTTATCTAAGCAATAAAAAAATGAAAAAAATTGTGATAGTGGAATCGATCGTAGGAGACCTAAGTCTCGTAGGTAAAATATTTTCCCTTTGATTTTTTTTGTTCTATCTTATTTTTTCAATTAGACATCTTAAAATATGTCTCGTATTATCCAATTCTTACCGTGATTTTTTTTCAAACAAAATTTGAAAGAATCCTAAACATTGACAGCGACTCAGGTATGCTCATAGATTTAAAAAAAGTATTATATAAAATTAGAGTCACATGCGGCCTCTACGAACCTCATCTATTTCTCCAACCCATGACCAAATAAATTTGAACAAGCATCAACATTTTATCACAACCCGTGTCCCACTGAGATTATTCGAGTTATCTTAAGCAATATATGGCAAATAAATATCATACTAGATGATGCTCGGTTTTTTTTTGATAACACCATCTTGTCTTTAAAGCGGTTAGTTGCCCTCAATTAAGAAAAATAGTATTATAATTCGCCAATAGATGTCGGGAAGAGTCATAAAGTTGATTATTGAAAACACGAATAAAACAACATTTTCTGAAAATAAATCGTAGCTAGATCGATTTATCGCCCCCGAAATTCCCTGTATACTAAATTTTATGAAAATCGTTGGAGCCGTTTCCGAGATTCAGATTATATAAATATATTATATTAATATACAAGAATTGCTCGTTTAAAGGTCTAAGATTACGGTAATATGTAGGTATATCTAGTTTGGGGTTTTGAGTAGAAACGACATCATTGAAATGCTCATGATTTATACTTGATAGATTGATGATACATATATGTATTTGCAGTAAAGCGCGGATGTTTCTAGGACAGAGGGTTGAATACTAATTTAATTCAACGAGATTTGTATAGTTCATCAAATTGGAATACATTTAGGCTTAACTCTAGGACGTCTTGTGAGTCCGTACGGGTAAGTACCACCACCCTGCCTATTTCTGCCGTGAAGCAGTAATGCGTTTCGGTTTGAAGGGTGGGGCAGCCGTTGTAACTATACTGAGATCTTAGAACTTATATCTCAAGGTGGGTGGCGGCATTAACGTGGTGGATATCTATGGGATTCGGTAACCACTTAACACCAGGTGGGCTGTGACATCATTCATTCATTTAAGCAATAAAAAAATTTAAAAAGGCTAATGGCAAGCTTGGCGTCGTTTTGGAACTTTCTTTTTCTTCGGGAAAATGGCTGAAGCTTTTGCGAAGTTTCCGCGTCTAACGGACGCGCGGTGTGTGTTCTTGACATTCTGCAGATGTTGGGAGCAGACCGCGCACCCCAAGATGTTTTTATGGCCCTACCCATTTAACAGGGGTCATCATTTTGGAAGAAACTGCAGGTTATTTTTATTACCTGTGCAATTTACCCATACTGTTAGCCCGCATGAGGAGGTTGCACTCTGTCGGCTTGAAGAGTTATAAAGCAGTTCACAATTGAGACTTCGTCAACGTCTCAATTTTAAATTAAGTAGCCCTCATACTGTGCTGTCTATGGGCCCCGGTAGTATTTTAAGAACAGGCAAGCCGTCAAATCATCAGGTGTGATAAAAACCATGTGTACCAGAAGCCCAATCAGTGTTAAAGCGCGTAGCGACTTGGCTCTGCCCCTGGTGTTCCTGAAGTCCATGGACGATGGTAACTACTCACCATGAGGGGGGCCGTAAGCTCGTGTCCCTACAAGAGCAATAAAAACATAATTTATAAATACTTACACGATAAACACTCCAGGCGCTGATTTCTTCTGTAACACAGCTGGTATTCTCACTGGTGCTTACATTACTGCAGAGTTCACTTTCTGTGACCGCGTGACCAGTTATGGCTACCATAGACACGCTGAGCTGAGCCCTCATGGTGTACGCCACGGTTAAACATATAAACAGTACCAAAGCTTGAGTGTGGCGGGTGCCAAAGCCTTTTGGTGCCGGAATTTTTGGTGATGACCCTAGAAAGATAAATTTTACTTCAGATTATTGTTGCAATACTTAACAAATGTTCACGATCGACTTCCACGGCGAAGGAATAGCATCGTGTAATAAAAATCTAGCCCGCAAAATTATGATTTGCGTAATTACTGGTGGTAGGACCTCATGTGAGTCCGCACGGGTGGGTATCACCACCCCGCCTATTTCTGCCGTAAAGCAGTAATGCGTTTCGGCTTGAAGAGTGGGGCAGCCGTTGTAACTATACTGAGACCTTAGAACTTATATCTCAAGGTGGGTGGCGCATTTACGTTGTAAATGTCTATGGGCTCCAGTAACCACTTAACACCAGGTGGGCTGTGAGCTCGTCCACCCATCTAAGCAATAAAAAAAAGCTGTGCTTACAGAAATATATAGGTACTGTTATTAGGCATTAGGCCTTAGGCTAAATTTGACAATCAAACTTGTATTAATTTTAGTAGGTGATAATAATATAAAAACTGAATTGCCTCGTTTGCCATAATAATGTGGTTGTCTGCCACTGAACTCAGATTCAATACTCAGACTGTACGCTCATTACACCGTACTTGCTATTACATAGCAATGGCTCATTTCCTTGACATAAAAAAATACTGTTTCTTGAGAAATTGTTCTTAATAAGGCATTCAATGAAGCTTTATATCCAAACATGAAGCCAGCAACATAGCCTACAGAGCTTTTCTTGATTAAAGCTCTATCCATATCGGTTAAGAAAGATAAAATTCCCGTAAAAGCTGATTGCCTTGCATTGACTATGTAAGACTCGGAATTCCTTGAGAGCTCAACAAAGTAATGTTTATACAAAATCTTTGATGAGTTTTTTTTTTGCCACAAAATCATCAATCTAGAAGGCAATTTAAGATACGACAAGCCGTTTTGCGTCTAATAATTTGGTATACAAGAGGTCCCGCAGTAGTCGAAATTCGACTATAATTAATTGGAATTGTAAGTTTGTACCCTATTATGATTGTATTTTATACTTCTATAATCACAAATTTCGCCAAGACTACAATATAAAAAATATTAACAAAGACAAACAATATTTAATCTATTCTAAATTTGACAACAGACGTCAAGAATAAAAGTTTGACAATAAATAGTATGCATGCGTGTGTGCGTCAAATACATGGTATGTAGTGTGTGTAATGTTTTCTTTATTGATTTAATGTATCTTTTATGCATTATTTAAAAAATTAGCATTGTGCACTTCTTCTCTATATCTATATATCTTATTCTTTCTATACTATTATAAAGAGGAAAGATTTGTTTGTTTTTTTTTGTTTCGAATAGGCTCCGAAACTACTGGACCGATTTGAAAAATTCTTTTTCCATTAGAAGCCGACATTGTCCCTGATGAACATAGGCTACTTTTTTTAATTTTTTTTATTTATTTTATTTTTTTGTTTTCATGTGTGTTTTAATGTTTCCGAAGCGAAGCGAGGGCGGGTCGCTAGTTCTCTATAAGTGTGGAAAATTTCATACTCCTCCGTCCGCGCAATTTTCGTAAAAAGGGATACAAAGTTTTTACTTCACGTATTAATAATATATAGATAATCTGGCCATAAATACTGTTACGATTAAAAATAAACAAAATATTACATTTGAATTTGGAATCTGTCATTTTTATATGATAGCTCATTGAGTTGTCTCATTTTGGCGCCAATACATTGTACAATATTTTGCGATATTAAAATGGAGTGGGGTGATAAAGAGAACCGAATCGCTGTGATAGCATTTTTTTATTATTTATTTTTTATTGCTTAGATGGGTAGACGTGCTCACAGCCCACCTGGTGTTAAGTGGTTACTGGAGCCCATAGACATCCACAACGTAAATGCGCCACCCACCTTGAGATATAAGTTCTAAGGTCTCAGTATAGTTACAACGGCTGCCCCACCCTTCAAACCGAAACGCATTACTGCTTCACGGCAGAAATAGGCAGGGCGGTGGTACCTATCCGCGCGGACTCACAAGAGGTCCTACCACCAGTAATTACGCAAATTATAATTTTGCGGGTTTCATTTTAATTACACGATGTTATTCCTTCACCGTGGAAGTCAATCGTGAACATTTGTTGAGTACGTATTTCATTAGAAAAATTGGTACCCGCCTGAGATTCGAACATCGATGCATCGCTCAACACGAATGCACCGGACGTCTTATCCGTTAGGCCACGACGACTTCAAAACTTGCATTACACAAAGTAGGTATGGAGCCAAGTGCAATTTTTAAAACTCTCCATACGCTTGGTATTAGTAAAATATTTTTGTACCGGGCTATTAATAGGTGCAATGAAACCTCCTTTGTTAGTGACAGAAAAAGATCTGGCCGTCCACGTAGTGTTCGTACGAAAAAGGTGGTCAAAGCAGTAAGGGAAAGAATTCGAAGAAATCCTGTCCGAAAGCAAAAGATTTTATCTCGGGAGATGAAGATAGCACCTAGAACCATGTCGCGTATTTTAAAAGATGACTTAGGACTTGCAGCCTATAAGAGACGTACTGGTCATTTCTTAACTGATAATTTAAAAGAGAATAGGGTGGTAAAATTTAAATAACTACAAAGGGAGGTCATAGAAAAATTTTGTTTACGCATGAGAATTTTTTTACAATTGAGCAACATTTTAACAAACAAAATGACCGTATTTATGCTCAATGCTCTAAGGAAGCTTCCCAATTAGTCGACAGAGTGCAACGTGAGCACTATCCGACTTCAGTGATGGTTTGGTGGGGTATTAGCTATGAAGGAGTGACTGAGCCATACTTTTGCGAAAAAGGTATCAAAACATCGGCACAAGTGTATCAAGATACCATTCTTGGGAAGATAGTGAAGCCCCTTAACAACACCATGTTAAATAATCAAGAATGGTCCTTCCAGCAAGACTCGGCACCAGATCATAAAGCTCGGTCTACGCAGTCTTTGTTGGAAACGAACGTTTCGGACTTCATCAGAGCTGAAGACTGGCCGCTATATTTAATAACAATAAAAAACGCGAGATTTAATAGTAAAACTAGTTTTAATTATACGACTCGTGAAAACACGAAGAAAATACTATAATATTATCTGTGGGGAGGAAATTTGGTGTGCACTTAGTTACAAGTTTTTTTCTGTTGTTCAAAGATGAATTTGTTTGCCCTGTGTCTTGTGGTCTTTGATTATGTTTATACTTAAACGTAGAAAAGATATATTTTGCAGAGTTTTAAGAATTTAAGTTTCAAACGAGATGACCTTGTATACACATGATCTGTCCCTGATTATTTACGTGTTACAAGTCTAGACGTGATAGTTACGCAACCGTTTGCACAGCGCAACAAGTGACTCACAACCCAAATAACTGTTATTACCTAAATCATTGTAAAACACATAAAACATAAAACGCCTCCATGTACAGGGAAGCGTTGATGGTACAAGACCGCGGGGGAGGCCACCAATGCGGCGGACCGACCAAATTAAAACTGCAGTGGGAGGTCCCCTAAATGAGTGCAGTAGAATGGCCTCGAGCAGGGAGAGATGGCGCGACATCGTGAGGCGCATCAAGTCTGCCCCTTACAACACTACATGACGATCACGACCACTCTGTCAAGAGTGACACGATTGAGAAGAAGAAGAAAACACATTTGCCCATAAAATACATCTGAATAATTTACAACTAATCTTCAACTCTAAGAGAGGGCATAAAAGACGGGACTAACTGCGTGCTTGAGCTGTACCCATCTGCGAAGGTGGTGGTTCTTGGAGACTTTAACGCTCATCACTAAGAATGGTTGGAGTCCAGGACCACTGACCTCCCGGGTCAGGCTACCTACGATTTCACCTTGGCGTACGGCTTCTCCCAGCTGGTGACACAGGCCACACGTTTCCCAGATACTGAGCTGCTGACCACTGATCCAGCCGAATATAGTGTGGTGGTCGACGCTCCACTTTGATCATCTGATCACTATCTTATCCGTACTGCCATACCGGTCTCTCGTCCTGGTCAAAGATGACTGGGTGTCAAAGAGTCTAGCGGCATAACTTAGATTGGGATGGATTGCATGTATTTTATACGTCCTACCCATTGGGGTGGCTCTGCTTTTCCTTTAGTGATCCTGAAATCTGTGTGGACCTACTTAAAGACGTGGTGCTTCTGGGTATCTGGTGTCGGAGGTCGCAGCAGACCTTGATATGACAATGTCAGTAAGATTACCGCACACCTGAAGCGGTTGTATACGCGGACGGGATGATGCCAGGAATCGTCGGGATCCTAACGTCTCAGGGAAAAGTCGGAAACTTATATAGAAATATAACGCCCCTTCCAAGTCCTACAAGAATGCTATTTCTAAGGCGAAGTCGGAGTACGTTGCTAGAGTTGGCAAGCGTGAGTCGTAGTTTTTGGTCACTCGCCAAAGCTGCAGAAGGAAACTTTTGCAGGTCTAGTCTCCCACCACTGTGCAATTTCAATGACAGGCTGGCTCATAGTGCAAAAAATAAGGTTTTTGGTCAAACTCTTCGCCTCGAACTCTACTATAGATGAGGGGGGGTGCCACACTACCGAACATCCCTCGGTGTGATAGCTCTATACCCGAGAACGTATTGACACAATGTTCAGTCAGGCGGGATCTCCGACTCCTGGCTGTCCATAAGTCGAGTGGGTCTGATTGCATCCTCACAGTGGTTCAGAAAATATGCGCCCCAGAGTTGCGCTAACGCGTCTGTATCGTCTCTCTTATTGTACTAACAGGATTCCGTCTTCATGAACGACCGCTCACGTTCACCCTGTCCCCCAGATGTGTGACCGATCGGACCCATCGAGCTATTGGCCTATCGCAATAACTTCCTTGTTTTTCCTGTATTATATACGGGCAATAAAAAAAAAAACACATCCCGAATTTAACATCTTATGAACACAGTGATTTACATAAATAATTATGTAACAATAATATATCTTTTTAATATTATGTGATCCAATTTTCTCTTTTCTTCGTCCTTTTGCGAGATTATGAAATCTTTGCTTTCCGTTTGAAAACATATTTGTATTGACACTCAAAAGGAAACGCGATTGCTGTTCTAATTGAAGAAATACCGTAAATAAGTCAATGATATTTGGTCTTAAAAATTTATACGACTTAATATTCATGAGTAATAATTTAAGAGAGACTGGTTTAGTTTATAGATAATATATTTTGTTGAATTAAGAAATTTACAAAAAATATGGTAAAAAAAATTATTAAAAAAGGCAGCGTACAGATTTGAAGCTGCAAGATCCGCAAGCTGTGCTTGAGGCCCCGGTTCGTCTCTCAGCTAACTCGATCAGTCGGCCCACGGATTATATAATGATGACAATAGTTATCATTTCTAATCCTAACATTTTCTAAAAGCTACGTGTCTATTAAATAAACGCAGCCTGCATGACGCATGAGCGAGCTTCGTTTAAGTATCTTTCGGAGGATACGACTCTGAAAATTTGTCTCCCCGTCTGGTTGCTTCTGATACTATTGTAGTTAAACTTTTTTATTTTTATTGCTTTGATGGGTGGACGAGCTCATAGCCCACCTGGTGTTAAGTGGTTACTGGAGTCCATATACACCTACAACGCAAGTGCGCCACCCACCATGAGATATAAGTTCCAAAGTCTCAAGCATAGCCACAACGGCTGCCCCACCCTTCAAACCGAAACGCATCACTGTTTCACGGCAGAAATAGGCAGGGCGGTGGCACCTACCCGTGCACTCTCACAAGAGGTCCTACCACCAGTAATTACGCAAATTATAATTTTGCGGGTTTGTTTTTATTACACGATGTTATTCCTTCACCGTGGAAGTCAATCGTGAACATTTGTTGAGTACGTATTTCATTAGAAAAATTGGTACCCACTTGAGATTCGAACATTGGTGCATCGCTCAACACGAATGCACCGGACGTCTTATCCTTTAGGTCACGACGTAAACTATAGTCATTTAGAATATCACATAGAAATACATTTAGAAACTATTGAAACAAAATAAATATAAAAAAAACTAACCTTCATATTTGTCATCCGCTGGTACCCCCTTGTAGACAGCCTTCTCTCCTGGCATGGTGTTCAGCAATGATCTTCAACGCCTCATGTCAACGTACATTATCACCAAAACAAATAAAAGATTAAGTCATATTTACTATAAATATTTTACTGTGGATCTATATGGAAATATACTGCTGGTAATTTTGTGTGAATCTGTGCGTGTTTTATTGGCATTGCTGCCTATCCCATGGAGAGATAAGTGTAGATTAATCTTTAATTATTATAACGGCTGTCGTAATTCTTTATAAATAATGTAAATGGATAATTTGAAGACAAGCGTCGCGAGACTAACTTATATAATAATACCTGTAATCTGTGCTAATCTAAATCAGAACATTAGTATGCGGCTTCACCTTTCTTGAGCCTCCATTACTAATTCCCAATTTCTATCTGTGCTAACTAGTATCATAGGTCTACGTCTCATTTTTCTACTTAATTTTCTGCCAGAGTCCCACTGCTGGTCGCGTGTATTTTTAGCCTGCAGGTCGGTTAGTAGATTGGCAATTGAAGCAATGCGTTCTGACTCAGTGTGTGACATTAATGAAGGCTGTGAGCATGGTCATGTAATCTCTTGTGTGGTCCCAAGCGATACATAAATGTACTAGCCGACCCGGCCACACGTTGCTGTGGCTAAGGTTTTTGATTCTAAATAATACGTGGCCGGCTATGCTAATACCAAAAATTAACAACGTAAGAACAATTGGATTTCACTATATTGCGTTTACTACGAAATAAATTTCACTTATACTTTAATTTCAGCAACACGTGGTGTTTATGCCATTAAATTGTAGCTTATGTAAAACGTTGGTATTTGTAACACGGCGCCATCTATGAGATATTAATTTCAGACAGTATTACAAATATCTGTAAAAACTGATTTAAGGC